CGTCCGGCGATGTGGTCCCGGCGTCGGGGTCAACGGGATCGGGGCCGATCCCGATCCGGATCGGTGAGGGAGGAGAAGGGGATCGAGGGGGAGTGGGGGGAGGCGTCGGCTAGGGTTTCGCCGCCCGGGGGGTTATCGGAGTGAGGGGGGGCCGGATGGGCCAATGGGCCGGTCGGCTGGGCCGGTTGGCCCAGTTGGCCAGAGGGTTTTCCCCCTGTAGTTATTAGGTTTATTTTCCTTTTTTTTTATTTTTCCTTTTCTGTTTTAATTCATTTTAAAATATTCAAACACTTTATAAACATGTGTGCACCCCACCATAATTAACCTTGTAAATTTGACAACCCCCGAACATTTTAGTTTAATTTTTTTGAAAACTTTTATTGCCATCATAATTTTGAATTGAATTTCGAAACCGTTTTAATTTAACCCGAGATTAACTACAGTGACAAAGGTGACGTGGCACCATTAGTGGAGGATTACTGTAGCGTAACTATCCGGGCATCACAAACAATCAAAAATTATAAATACGTTGGAGACGTATCACTACTTTATTATGATGAGTTTTATGAGAAAGAGTTGTTGTTATGATGCTAGGAAAAGGTACTGAAATTATCATTGATCAATTTATGCACTATGCTAGCATTCACACTTCACAAATTATTTCTTTTATCATTTACCTACTCAAGGACGAGTAGAAACTAAGCTTGGGGATGCTAATACGTCTCCAACGTATTATCGTGGTGTTGAATAGAACTAACTCGGACTGAGATTGTTTTCAACAAAACTACCGTGGTGTTTCTTTTATCATTTATGAAGTATTCATGCCATGTTTACAACAATTTTACTAGTGGCTGGGGCGCCACCTGGTGGCGCCTCTTGAGGCAAAATTGTGCGCACTAACCAAGCTAGTGTATTAGTTAACGTCTCTATATGACAGGATTCTTACTTCAGCGAGAAGACAAGCAATCGAAAAGAGCCATAACTTCATGTTGGTTGTAAATAGCAAGAGTGTGCATTGATAAAGCAGAGCAAGCGTAGCAGTAGTAGATTCAGCTGAGAACTGGAAAGAAATCAAAGAAAAAAGACAGAATCAAACGACCCAACCCTGGAGCTTGTTTGTAGTGTTCTAGCATTTTCATTCTTGAGCATGGCCTCCCGGGAAGGAAACAGATCTATGCCACCAAAGGGGAAAGGGTGGCAGCTCTCCATGCCTGAACATACTCGAGGCATTAGCATCAAGTAGAGGTGACACATCATAAGAATTACATAGGCATATACAAGCTGACCAACATGTGCAGCAGATCGACACAATTCACATGCCTCTTCTAATCTTCCAGCTCTTAAAGAGAGTCTAGATATCTTCTAAAATCAATTCATCTTGTTTCTGCTTACATATAAAGGAAAGGTGAGCTCTGATTTTACTAAATGAAAATTCTGGTTAATTCACCAAAGATGATTAATGGGAAGAGATCTTTAACAGCTGAAAGAGATTTGTCTTCTTTATAATGATATTAGTCCAATAATTATTGCTTTAACATAAAGGATTAAATTTGAAGGTTAGGTACAGCACAGTTGTCCAAGGCATCCTCAATTAAAGTGACATTATGAGGTGAAAGATGGTGTGTTATCACATAAAGAGTATGAAAAATAATTTTGAAAAGGCCAAGTGGAACCAATTATAATGCATACTTGTAGCATTTAGATATCACAATAAATTATTAGCAGTTTTATGAAAGGATATTTACACTGTATTTGAGATAGATACCAAATAGCCTACCTTGTAATGAGGAAGAAGTTGGGCTACTTCAGAGTTGGAGCATCAACATCCACATGCTTCACTATATTAGAATCATTATTCCTTCTCTTTCGGTACCTCTGTGTACGATGCCAAACACCAGAACATGGTAGATATGAACCAACATGAGATCCTCTCACCTACAGAATAGAAATATAGTACCACAAAAAAGTGTGTACCTATATCATCAATTTGATCATGAATAGTAAGTTAAAGCATCACCTACTTGTTAAATACTCAGTTACTCTAGAGCTCATTGTGTGGTTAAAATACAAAAGCAAGGTCACTCAAGGAAGAAAAATAACTACTGAAATTTAGATGATCAGGACAAATCTTCCACTTCATAGAATGGAATTGTCCTTCACCCTCACGCAGAACCTATAAGATCTCTCCCCATCAGACCAATTGAGCAGCTGAAGACGAACAATTAAAATAATGGCCGGTCAGTATGTCATATGTCAAATTGCATTAGCATGGCATATTAACAAGCCCTCTACATGTACTAATGGAGTCCTAGCAGAATTTTGAATCACTTTCCCATCTACACAGGAAGGCTTTGTCTGAAACAGGTCAACTCCGATAGAAGAGGAATTTTCCCAGTGAGGATTCACATACCTGAAATAAACAACATGGTCATGTGTACGCAGACAATGAAATTCGACATATTATTATTCGTTCGCATGTTTCCAACAGATTTTCAAGGTGCCAAATATTTGTTAGGTTAAGAGAGGTGCAAACACAAGTAAGAAAAGGGAAATGGATTCAACAAAAAACTATATAGGACCTCTGCTGCTCCTGAAGCGTGCGTCCATCTCAACATCAATATTCTTCATGTTGTCGAACACAAGGAGGAGAGTGGCATCCGCTTGTCTAGGGAGCCAGCCACCACAATTCAACCATGCTAGATCCCATGAAAGTAACAAGAACATTGTAGTCACCCTCAACACCAAACCACTCAACATTTGAAATCCCAACTACACAATAAAAAAATGTACGCCAGCATCATAACAGCAAAAAATATCTTAAATTTATGGTCCAAGGAAAGAAAATGAATGGGCATTACTTCTGCCCTGCAGTACCCTGTACAACTTTGACTCATACAGCAACTGAGGATGCTTCGCCTTCACATTTTCCTGGACAGAGCAAAAGCATAAGGCCTTATCATTTCTTCTGGCTTATCGACTTCTCCTATCCTCTCTTTTATGTACTATCTTTGACGTTTAATTCATGGGAACTAAAATGAAGTAATGCAATGCAAATGCAGGAGAGCTGACACAGCTCAGTGCATATAAAAGCTACCATTAATCCTTGGCAGAAAATAGTTTTCAGCAGATTGAAGTGATCGGTAAAGAAGTTTGACTGAGAGCTGCCAATTTGGGAAACATAAGCCTGAAGAACATACTTTCGTTATTGTACTTCCCACAAGAGTGAGATATAAAGATTGTCAGACTAATCTTTGGCCTTTGTTTCTTCAAAAAACCGGCAATTATCAAGTTAAATACAGTACCAAATAGAAATACTTGCACCCATATCAAAGAGGAAAATACTGGCACTAAAAGCAATACTACCGCTGATTATAAACTCACAAGCTTAATCGCGACCTCCTCCTTGGTCTGCACTTTAGTACCTGCACCGGCAACCTTGAGCAAGGAAAACACACTTAATCAGTAATGCAGTAGAAACAGCACAAAGGCGAGAGCTTTAGCTGCTTCCTAAATTTGCTAACAAATTATTTCAAGCAATAGACAATGAATGCATAATACCTTGCTCGAAACAAAAAAACTTGCAACAGAGTTGCTGCAGTATAATTCATTCACTTGGCGCCTTACAAGGGGGTCACCGACATGAAAATGAAACCATCCTTGAATCGTGAAATGTTGTTCAATAAATCAGTAAATCACTAGAGAGGCAACTCGGCGTTGGGATCAGACTGGGCATTGAGGTGGTGTACAAGGAATAGCCTTGCACGGTTAACGGCTGCAAAGTAGAGACAGATGTGCTCCTCGAGGTCGGCGAGCTGGCATAGTAGGCTAGGATGGTTCTTTCGGAGCTGCCGCACCACCTCTTCGATGGTGTGGTGTTGCCCCCTCCCGCGCTCAAGCCTTAGCCTAACCAAGATCTTGTCACCCTTGACAGTGGCGTGGAGCCTATCCACCAGCCGTTCAATGGTGTCCATGTCATTGTTGAGCACATCGGCGCCCCTGGCTGCGGCGTCAAGCCGGTCCATGTGTTGCTGCAGGCGTTTCATCCAAGCGAGGGTTGAGCAGCAGGAAACACGCGGCGCTGCACAGGCAGGAGCCGCTGCCAACAATGCGGCCATGGCATGGGTGGCGATGACGAGGCCAGCTATTGCAGCTCCCGTCGCGCAGGCAATGAGGCAGATGCCAGACCCGCACATCGCGCACCACAACAGCCGGCAGTTCCGTCGGGCCTTGAGGAAGCGGAGGTCGAGATGGGTTTTGAGGCCAGCAAAGCTCCGATGCATGCCCTGGAAGCTGACTTCGGGGACAGGAACGGGTTGGGTATTTTGTCGAACAGGAGGAAGGCGTCAAACGCGCAGTCGCAGTGTGGCACGATGAGAGGCATGGCGTGCGGGATCAGCGTGAGAACGTCCGTGATGGGCCCGTAGAGTGCGTGTGCGCGGCGCAGCGCCCGGCGGAGGAAGAGGCAGTGCAGCGACGCGTTGTGCGTGCTGTGGAGGTAGTCTGCAGCGAGGCGGGTGAGCTCCTGTCGGGCGCGTCCCCGAGCGCGCGCTCCACCACCGCGTCCTCCGGACGGAGCATGCCGGCGAGGTTGCTCCTATCCTCCTCCTCCTCGGCTTGGTCGCCGCCGTCAACCCGTTGGCTGTCTCCACCTCGAGCACGGCCGCGCGAGCTCCGGGAGCCCTAGGTCGCGGCCAGCTCGGAGCCGTGCTTATGGATGAAGAGCACGTGCCCGCCGGCTGGGACGACGAGCTAGAGCCGTCGTGGAGCGGATCTGGGAGCGCCGCCGCCTGGCCTGCTCGATCTTGATGTGACGGCCTCGTAGACAAGAGAAAAGGGCGGCGGCGGCGCTGAGCACCCGATCTGACTGGGGATGCTTCTGCTGACGCGATTGTGGTCGCTCATGCTCGTGGTTCTCCTCCCGGTGGTTCCCCAGATCTGGCGACGTTGAGAGAAACGAGCACAGGATGGGGCGGTTGTGTTGATGACGAGCCTGTTTTTGTCTCGCTCTTTACTGCCCACGCAATCGCTAACTTGTTATTCTTTTTGTCTTCTTGTGATGACATGGATAGCAGGAGGAGGCGCCCATGCCGCGACTGTTAATGGGTTTAATATGGTTTGGGTGCAATTTTATATGATTTGAATAGAACTAACTCGGACTGAGGTTGTTTTTAACAAAACTACCGTGGTGTTGTTTTTTGTGCAGAAATAAAAGTTTTTAGAAATGGACGAAACTTTTTTGAATTTTTTTGAGAAATATAAAAAATACTGGAGCAAAGACCTGTTGGAGGGGGGCCCTACTACCCACTAGGCACCAGGGCGCACCACCCTGGCACGCCCTGGTGGGTAGTGGGCTCCCTGAGACCCATCTCAGCGTGAAACCGACGCCAAAAAGTCTTAAATAATCAGAAACCTCCAAAAGTTAACCTAGATCAGAAGTTCCACCGCCGCAAGCCTCTGTAGCCACAAAAAACCAATCTAGACTCTGTTCTGGCACCCTGACGGAGGGGGAATCATCACGAGAGGCCATCTTCATCATCTTGACGGCCACCATGATGAGAAGGGAGTAGTCTACCCTCGGGGCCGAGGGTTTGTACTAGTAGCTATGTGTTTAATCTCTCTCTCCCTCACGTGTTCTTGAGTTGGCATGATCTGGAGGTATCGCAAGCTTTGTTAATATGGTTGGATCATATGGCGTTTTCCCCTCTATCTTTTTGTGATGAATTGAGATTTCCCTTTGAGATTTCGTTATTATCGGATTGAATACTTTTATGGATTTGAGAGCACTTGGTGTATATCTTGCTATGAATACCCATGGTGACAACGGGGTATCATAATTATTCACTTGATATATATTTTGGCACTCAACTTGTGGATTCCTGAGGTGATATTGGGGTAATCTATGCATAGGGGTTGGTGCATGTTTTCGTCTTTGTTTCTCCGGTTGAAATCTTGTGGCACTCTTTGAAGTTCTTTGTGTTGAATTGAGTATTATGAATCTGAAATTGTTTGATGCATATCATATAATCAACTCACAGATACTCGTGGTGACATTGGAGTATCTAGGTGACATTAGAGTTGGTTGATGTGTATCATGTGGTGTTATTTTTGTATGAACTCTTAGGTTGTTTGTGACACTTATAGGGATAGCTCGATAGATCGATCAGAAAGGATAACTTTGAGGTGGTTCCATACCCTACAAATAATTTCTTCTTATGTTCTTCGCTAGATATGAACTTTGGAGTGATTCTTCATCGCACGTTGAGGGATGGTTATATGATCCAATTATATTAGCATTGTTGAGAGATTGCACTAGCGAAAGTATGAACCCTAGGCCTTGTTTTCAAGCATTGCAATACTATGTGTGCTCACTTTTGCTACTTGCTACCTTGTTGTTTTTATTGTTACTATTACAAAAATTAATATCTACTATCATTACTACACTTGTATCACCATCTCTTCTCCCAACTAGTGCACGCATACAATTTACCATTGTATTTGGTGTGTTGGGGACACAAGAGACTCTTTGTTATTTGGTTGCAGGGTTTTTTGAGAGAGACCATCTTCATCCTACGCCTCACATGGATTGTTAAACCTTAGGTCATCCACTTGAGGGGAAATTTCTACTGTCCTACAAAGCTCTGCGCTTGGAGGCCCAACACGAGTCTACAAGAACAAGTTGTGTAGTAGACATCAATGTCACTGTCCACGTCTCCCTCCTAACATGTTTTTGCGGATGTAGGGTTGTCCACCACTGCATGAGGTTTGCATCCACCGATGGTGTCCAATCTGGTCTTCCCCAAGTGGTTGTGATCTTGTTCCATACCTCTCGTGCAAAGACACACCCCAGCAGTAGATGGTCCAAAGTCTCCATGGTTTGGTCACAGAAGGGACACACCGACTGAGTGGTAATTGCCCACACTATTGCCCATCTGCTATCCAACATCTATTTCGCGCCGCTAGCCACGTGAAAAATGTGCATGTTGGTGGCGCCCGCGATCTCCAAATCTGGACAGCTCCAGCATTCTCTATTCTTCCCGCAAAGTGAGCATGGTATGATGATCGTGCGGAAAAACTTCCCATGCTCTCCCATGTCCAAGTGATCGGGTCATCCACACCTTGCAGCAGCTCAATGCGCTGGGCCGCGTCTACCAGCGATATGAATTCCAGTAGAGATTGTGTGCTCATGTCCGGGGAGATCTCTTGCCACCATTCGTTAGTGAGTGCCTGTCTAACCGTTTTTTTCCGTCCCGGTTTCTTGACCATAACATATAGATGTGGCGTGGTATCCTCAATGCGGTCATCCCAGAGCCACCAGTCAGTCCAAAAATGTGCGTTCTCCCCATCCCCTAGTTTGCACCTTGCGACTGCTTTGTATAAGCTCATTGAGTCATCGGAGACTTGTAAGTTAAACTCGCACCAGGGTCGGCTTGGATCCGTCCTTCGTAACCATGACCAACTGGCACTAAGCATCGTGTTTAGCAAGCACAAGTTGGCACGCCAATACCACCATATTCCTTTGGCATGCAAACCTGGTCCCATGCCAAGATGCAGTGCCCTCCATGCACATCGCGCCAGCCTTTCCATAGGAAACCACAACAAATCTTGTTGGCGGCGGTAATGGTTTTGATAGGTAACTAAAGCGCCATCGTCGCATACATCGGCATGGACGTGAGTGTGGTTCGTAGAAACTCCAGCCGCCCGACCTGATAGAGCAGCCACAAAGTTATTGAGACATTTGGTCCCATCTTTTGATAGGTAGTAGTACTTTATGTGAAGGGGCCTAAATTCTTATCGTATGTACTTGCTCAACCACAAAGTTATTGAAAAATGCAAGTTTTTTCAATGCGTGCATAGTTTCAGATGGCTTCCGCGTCTTTTGGCGCAACGGGTAGAGAAAAATGTTCGACGGGTTTTTGTGCACTAATGCATAAGATAATATTTTTATTGAGTTTTGACGCAGAGGCAAAAAACCAATGCATGGCACAGACATGCACGTACTTGTACATGCACATGCATGCATGAAATCATGGTGCCACTACTACGTGTGCATGCACACACACGTCCTGGCCACTTTTGTTTTTATTCTAGACATTGCTAGCTTAGATACATATACACACTAATGTATTTACATATTTTAATACTGGCAAGCTCGCATTACATATTCGAATACGGAGGCATGGCGCTAGTTGGGGACGTCGCCGATGTCTACTTCGCCATGAAGGAACATGCCGAACGATGGAGGCATGGAGCTCGCGAGGATGCCACCGTTGTGCCATGGTGGATGGTGGCACGGAGCTCTCCAAGACGACGCTAATCGCGAACATCATCAACTCAGTGCCATAGAGGATCGTGATGGGGAGCTCGCAAGGAGGACGTCTGCCATCTACTTCGTCATGCTGGAGCTAGAGAACGTAGGCGTGGCAACCGTTGGGGACTCCATCAATGTATACTTTGTCAAGCCGGAGCCTGGAGATGTGGAGCTTGCGGGGATGTCGCTGCGTGCTGTGGAGGATGGCGACACGGAGATCGCTAGGGCGACACCCATCGTCTTCTTCATCAAGCTGGTGCCATGGAGGACGGAGGAGCGAAGATCACGAGGATGTGGCTGCCGTGCCGTAGTGGATGGCAACACGGAGCTCGCTAGGGCGACGCCCATCATCTTTTTCATCAAGCCGGTGCCATGGAGTCTGAATGCTAGAGCTCGCGAGGATGCCTGATGAGGACATCAATACCACTGTTACACCCACAGCCCCTGCTGCTATACATACTGGACCAATCACTAGAGCTCGTGCACGCCAATTGAATTACCAAGTACTTTCGTTTCTTGGTAACAATTCTAGTGTTCATGAGAATATGATGTTGCCTAAATTGGATACATTTGTGTTGATTACTAATGAAGGGGCTAGCATGGACAAGAGGGATGAACACTGGAGCAGAAACAAGCATGGAGATGTAGGCGCGTGCGAAGGGAACCAGAACAACGTTTCTAATGGAGATTTTACTGCTTTGGAGCCTCCTTGATGACATACAAGGATATGGACGAAATATACAAGATGCCCTTTCATAAATTTTGTCCATAGCTTATAATAGGTGTTGCGCGACCTTATTTTTGGGCCAGGCCCATGTAATTTTGAAATACTTGAGTATATGTTGTTTTTAGAATCTGTATGTGTGGGGAAAGAAGAGTTAGGATTGGTTTCGGACCCCTCCTTCAAGAGTCACGAAATTCCTCCCTCTTCCTCCATATATAGAGCCCTTAGGGCATCATTTAGACTTTGGG